TGAAAGCTCTTCATTCCTCTCGCTTTGTACATAATGTTCATAACGTCAAAACAGCCTGGTGAATGTCTCAATTCAAAACTAATTGCTCTCTCAAGTCTTTCTTAGCTTGGATTAGTCACCAGCTGTGTTTTTTGTGTTACTAGTTACTAGTTGTGTTTTTTTTGCTTTTGTGCAAAATATGCAGATGGGAAGACTAATTTTGGATTGCTGCCACAGCAAAGACATGCTTGTGTATAAAAATGTCCAGCCAATTTTTTTTTAGTTTTTCATGCATTGTACTAATCTAATTTGAATTTTATTAACCTTGTTAAATGAAACTAACTAGTCCCTATCGTAGGCATTAATGCACAGATAATGGGCCTTTGAGTGTCTTGGATTTCTATTCCTTTGTACATGTCATCAGACAACTTTCTGAAATCAAAACAAACATATCTGCTTATATTACTGATACTAAGCTTTGCACATACAAAGACAATAGTTAGGGAAGCTTTCAATACAGATGCTGCCATGTAAGAAAAGAAGTAACTCTGGTGGAGTTTCAAATCTCTGACTGAAATTGCAGTAGCTGCATATTTATCTATTTACCTCACATTTTGAGAAATCTCACTTTTATATGTTTTGGAAGACAAACAAAAACAAATAGAAAAGTTAGAAAAAATAGTAGGAGATGAAACACACTATAAATTCAAGAAATTAGAGGTTTTCTGTTTAATTTTCACTACACTCTGTTAAAATCTAGGTTCAAGAAAGAAACTCTGTCACTGCATCCAGTGAAGCCACTCATATTCAGATTTCAGAACCCATTAATACTCCAGGTTTAAAAAGTACTGCTATTAAAACCTCACTGCAAACCCACGATTTCACAAAAAATCCATTGACATCAGAAGGCTTTATCTTCAGCTCTCACACAAGAAAAGGGCAACAGCTGTCTCAGGTACTGTAGATGCTTTTCTTGACAGTGCTGTCAGATCCTGAAGAGATAGACAAGTGTGGTTAATTTACTTCATTTGGTATAGGTATGTGAAATTCAGCAGTCCTAAACATGGTGTATAAGACAAAGCAACCACAAACTAATACTGTAATGCACATAGATAAACCCAAAATACTAGACAGAGGACAGGTAGCATTTTGTCTGTTAATTTTGAATTGGCATTACCTGCTAATAAAATTCTAATAATTTTCTTTCTTCAACAAATTGACAAGAACATTGAATCAACAAAAATCTGTTTGTTCCTTCATACATTCAGAGCAGGAAGAAAAACGTCTGAAAGTTTTCATTTGCTTTGGTAGCGGGAAGTTGCCTGATTAGAGACTTCACAGTCAGACACACAAAGGGTAGCTAAATTTAACCAGAAGATTAACTTTTGTAAAAATAAATTCTTACAGCCTGCTCCAAAGACTACTGATGTCAGAAAAGGTCTGCAAACTTGCCTATAATTAAGTTGGTTTGTTAAAAAAAATCTCATTACAGACCTGAATCTGAAAATACTCAGAGTTCTTAGTTTCTAGTGAACTTTACATCCTGTAAAGAATACCTTTACATCTTAATTCCAACTATGAAGGGGAATTCATTATAATTAGGATCCTTTTAATCCAATGTACTGACAAGTGACTTTCTAAATAAAGATACATGAACCTTCTGTAAAATATGCTTCAGAAAAATCCAGTGTTCTGGTTGCAACAAAATTACACATTTTTTGAATGTTTGAATGCAAAAAAATGACTAGTTATGAAAACTGTTTTAAGTAAGATCTATAGAACAAGATAAATCTGAATAATCTAGTTGCAAGTCAGTGTTCATGTGAAAAGAAGAATCAGAGTGAGTACTTTGTCTGCTCAAGCATAAATCAGATGAGTATTTTTCTCAGATACAAAAAGCTGAAACCAACCACTATTTTTTGAGATTTTTCTAATAGTGATTCCTCAATAACCAACCCTTCAATCCCAACGGAATAACTATCAGCTTATAAATATACTTAACACATATTAATTTGTTTAGTTTCCTCTTAGGATTTTAGAAAACTATTTATATTTCTTGTTTTACATATGTAACTCTAGCTACCAATTTATGACTAAACAAGAACACAAATTAACCATCCCACAACAAAATTGATATTACTTTAAAAATAATATTAAAAGTTACAAATAATGTGATTCGTGTAAACTGCAGTTTAAAACTATTTCACTTTTTCTATACTAAATACAAATTACCTCCTGATCTCAGGTTTTGAGACATTACTACAATTACTTACTGATATCTGCTTCAATTAGTGTTGAAGGAAATTTTATTTTTCAGCTGATACAGACTGTATTTGTTTTTGTAGGTGACAGAAAAAAAAAATCCCCAGTGAAACAAATACCCAGGCATTCCAGTCAAAAAAGAAAAGGGTGGGCAAATGTTTCAGTAACCAAGTTAGCTATGATCCAGTATCAGAATGGGCTTTACAAAGAAACTGTGTTGACCTCATGAGGAAGTTTAATACCAGAGTGCTTGACAGTTTCTAGGGCATTTTTAAAGCAATCACAGTACTTGACTTGCTTACAAGACTTTTTCAAGTATTGCAGAAATGTTCACCTCCACACCTCAGGTCACAGAGCTGGGCTTTTTGATGGTCTAGACAGACCCATGATATAAAAAACTTGGTATAAATGGGCAACCTGTGAGGAGAGGACAGTAGTTAAATGGACATAGGCACCTAATGCTAAGTGAAGGACTTGACTCTCTAGGGATCCTGAGGGTGGTCTGCAGTCATTATGAAACCTAAATTAATTAACAAATAAAACTGGTGGTACGGAAAAAATGACAACATGAATGACTGATAGATGAGCAAGAATACTAGTCTCAAATATGCTTTCTCCAGTTTCATGAAAAACAGTAACTTAATCAGGCAGAAAAAAAAAAATGGCTTGGATCCCACTGTGTGGAAACATTGTCTAATATCACACATTGGGCAACAACCTGCTGTTTGTAACCCTAGTAAGATTTAGAGGAAGATTAGAAAGACAGAAACCTCATTCCTTCAGTGTTGCATTTTCCCTAACTTCAACCTTTCCATTTTACTCAGTCTTAGTCACTGATTGTTCTGGGCAAACCCTTAAATGGAGAATAATGTTTTCAAAGCCACAGTGAGAAAGATCAGAGGGGATGAGCAGCCTGCAAATATGATGAATAAGAGAACCCAAAATGGATCACCTCTGTAGAAGGCTGCCCAGCCCTAACTAGCTCCAAACCAGACCATCATGCACAACCTGCTTGTGGAAAGACACCAGTTACTGTTCCAGTTGGGGACCCAGTCCAGCAGATGCTCCCCACCAGCCTGCTGCTGGCTAGCAATAACAAGCACCCACTTTGCTATTGGATGGATTCTCAAGTAAGAAGACTTTGATGTCTTTGATGCATACCTCTCAGTGTTCCTCAGAATTCTCCAGAAAGAATTTTACAGTTAACTTCTGATTTCCCAATTATTTTAATCCTCTAGGTTATTTGAGTGACTGCAGGGAAATGAAGTCCACAGGGCGGCACACTTTTCTCCTAAGACGGAGAGCAGAGCAAGCAAGCTTGGTCTGCTGAGCAGCTGGTGCCAGGCACTGGTCACTACCAATAGCCAACCTGTCCGCAGGGAGACCTTTGACACTCAGGGTGGCACCACTGAATTCAGGGTGGTGAGAGTGCTTTTAAGACAATTGCTACCACTAATAATTCGACAGCAGTGTAAATCAGCATTTACATTCCATCACAGTCACAGTGCAGGACTGCATATTGTTGGTTTTTGATTATTAAATGTGAACCATTTGAAGAAATATGCACTTAAAATAAACTACAATACAGAAACTGACAGGAGAACATCAAAATGTGGTGGCAGATATCCACCTGGCCAGTAACATAATCTGGGGAGGCTGGCAGAGGTTGGAAGGTGCCTTGAATCTACCGGAGTAGGGCAAAAAACTCCAAACCCAGGCTGATCATCTTTGACAGGAATTACTTAGGAAATATCCTCACCACCAAACTTCTGTTGAAGGACAACTTTTGTGCATTTTTCTTAGTTCCTTTGCAAGGATTCATGAGCAAACAGCCCTTGGAAAAATACAACCAAAAGGAGTTTTGGCTGAAATCCATGGACCTTAATTCTTTTGCCTTGGTGGGTGATTGGACTCATCAAAACATAGCCTTGATGAACTCCTGTAAAAGCAGGAAGGGAGGGAGAGGCTTTCAGGCCACAGCCTGCTCTTCTTCCCCAGAACGATTTTGGGGAGACACTGCCCGAATTCGATTTATTTGTTCTGGTGACGGGGCTAAGCCTCTCCCATGTGAAATTTCACTTTTCAATGAAAACTTACTCCGGGAGGAGCATCGCCAGTATATTTCTCGTGTGACTCATACGCACAGAACCCAAAAGTCAATAGTCAAGAGTTTATTTGATGGAGGTTTTCTTTTAATTAAGAGGTCATTAAGGGGATCCGACCGTTACTCAGCTCTGAGACGAAGGTCCCCAGCAGCTGCTCCAGCCCGGGAGATGTGCCGGCCAGCACATTTTCCAGAAACATGTTTCCTCTCTCGCCAGCGGCCCCTTCCCCCTCCCCGTCACCCCGTTTTTAGTCTCTCCAGTGCTGATGAGCTAATAGCATTTTTCCTTTGCATACTTTGGCGCTGCCCCACGGCATACTCTGGCAGCCTACGTGTGTCTGAGCGCGCCCGCCCGCCGCAGGCTCGGCTCAGCACGGCTCGGCGCGGCTCCGGGAGCAGGGGAGACGGGCAGAGAGGAGGAGGGAAGTAGGCAAGGAAGGGGAGACATGCAGGGAGGGAGGATGGGGAGCCCCCGCCGGCACGCCGGCCCGAGCCGCCTCGTTCTCCCCGGGCCTCCCCGCACGGGACGGGCGGGCGGGCGAGGGGCGGCCGTGGGGAACTGTCAGGGCCGCACGTTTCCAGCCGCATTACGTGAACAAATGGCGGGGGCGCAGCCAGCCCAGCCAGCGGGGCTTGTGTAACTTTGCGAGCGTGCCAGCAAGTTTAAAGTCCCTGGTCTCTCCTCCTCCTCCTTTTCCTCCTCCTCCTCCTCCTCCTCTCCTCCTCCTCCTTCCCTCGCTCCAGACACCAGCGCGGGCCGAAGAACGATGAGAGGCTGATTGTTTGCTCCAGCTCCCATTCGCATCCCCTCGCCTATAAATACCGGGGAGAAGAAAAGCCGTTCCCTCCGCCTCCCCAGGGCCGCTTTTCCTTTCCGACGGCCCGACCTGCCCGATGGCACCGCCCGGGTGTCGCAGCGCCTGAGACCCCGCTGCCCGCCTGACCCTTCCAGAGGTGCAGCCCGCACTCCCCGTCCTCCCGCACCACCCCGCCCCATCCCCAGTAGGAAACGAGCCCCTCTCTCTCCACTTGGCCCCCTCCCCCCCGGTTTCGCCCGTATCTCTCTTCCCGCCGGCGCCCAGGAAAGAGAAGAAGATGCGATTCACGCCGCCGGGGCTCCTGTTCGCCCAGCTCCTCGCGTGCATCTACTGGAGCTGCCTGTGGCCCGCCGGCTGCCAGCAACAGCAGCCGCTGCGCCGGGATCCCCCGCCGCCCCCCGCCGGCTGGAGGCAGCGGATCCAGTGGGAGAACAACGGGCAGGTGTACAGCCTGCTCAGCCTGGGGTCCCAGTACCAGCCCCCGCGGCGCAGGCAGGCGGCGGAGGCGGCGGGCAGCCCCATCCTGCTGCTGCGGAACAACGGGACGGCGCTGCCCCGCAGAGCCGCCACCCGCGCCGCCGCCGCGCAGCCACAGCCCCCGCCCGCCGCCGGCACCCGGGGCGGCTCCGGTGCTCGGCACTGGTTCCAGGCCGGCTACCAGCCTTCCTCCGGGGGCCGTGCCGCCGCCGGGCAGCGCAGCCAAGCGCCCACCAGCCCCGTGGCCAGGAGTGCCTCCTCGGGGGCGTCGCGACCCAGCGACCCCGCCAGCCCCGCCACCGACGGCAACGGGAGCAGCACCGGTGCCGGGGGGCTGCCGCCCCTCGGCAGCTTCAGGCCCGGGCGGGAAGATGTCATGGTAGGAGACGACCCCTACAACCCCTACAAGTACACGGACGATAACCCCTACTACAACTATTACGACACCTACGAGAGGCCCCGCCAGGGCAGTAGGTACAGACCCGGCTACGGCACCGGCTACTTCCAGTACGGTAAGAGCCCACCTTCCCGCCCATCTCGTCCCGTCCCGTCCCGTCCCTCCCTGCCCGCCGCGCCGCCTCGCTCGCTCCCGCACCCTCCGGTCCCGGCGGGATGCGCTGCGCGGCTCATCGGCCCTGCCAGCCTCTCTCTCGGGGCAAAACCCGACCGGGCCTGCGATCGTGCGGCTCCCGGTCCGCCGGAATCCCGGTGGAAAGCCCTGCGGCCATCCCGGAGGCCACGGTCCCCGCGGGGAGCTGCGGAGGGCACGTCGATAAGCCCACCGCGGGATTCCGGGTGTCGTGCTTGCGATGTGGTCTTTGGGAAAAGCCGAAGAGCCTGAACAAAGGGGAGGAGAGCGAGGTTAACGGAGGGCAGGGGTCCGTAACAAAACGACGGCTCCTAACGATTGGGATGGTAGCCAAATATCTGCAAACGTGTCCTGGGTTGATCTTGCTGTTATGTGGTTGGTTTGATGAACTGCAGGTCTCCCTGACTTAGTCCCGGATCCCTATTACATCCAGGCGTCCACATATGTCCAGAGGATGTCCATGTATAACTTGAGATGTGCTGCCGAGGAAAACTGCTTGGCAAGGTAGGCATCAGCCCAGGCTTCTGTCCATCCACTGTGAGTTTTTGTGCTCCTGTGTCCACTGTGGAGTACCTGTGAACATGGTGAAGAGTGGAGAAGAGTGAGGCTGGAGGCCCAAGTAAACACAACCCAGTTTGAAACCTTCTTCCAAACTTGTGGCAGATGGTGGGGTATGCACATCAGAAAGCAATACTGCCATACTAGAGAGACAAGCTACAGATCTTTTGAAGAACCTACACGTTGTGAAAAGTTATACTACGTATTTCTATTGTCAGGCTCATTTGAACATATCTGAATATTGTAAAATGGAGGCACCTAAAAAAACTATTTGAATCTGGTGATTTGAATCTGAGTTCATCTTCCTTTTCTAATCCCTTAAGATTATATGTATCTCCACTAGAAAAAAGACAAAACAAAACCCTATTCTTAACCAGCACAAATTAATAATAAAAGTATAACAAGCTAATTGTTTCTGTTCCTATTCCTTGTAATGTCTCTTAAAACTAAAATCTCCCTGAAAAGTGTTTCAGAGTCTCTTAAGGGGTTGAAATAACAGCTTTGCTATGAAGTTTGGTCTTGTCCAGTTGGCAGAGAGGGATTTTTCCTGTTTTGTTTGGAAAGAAATCAACATAGCTGTTTTTAACCATTTTAACTTGTTTGATACCTTATCATTTAAAACAGATTTATGTATTTACCAGCATCGTTAATTGATATCAGACTGTTTCCAGGGTCATGCTCTTTGTTCACTTTCTGGAAAAAGAAAACATGACATAGGAAGCAGTATTTGTATGCTAGATTCACAGTGAATACTAATTGAAATGTTCTTGCTAGCTGTCAGTTGATTAAAATATTCCAGTATTTAAAAGACTGTAGATAATAGCCATGTGAAACAGGATAATATAGCCTGTTCATATATATATGTTTATATTTTTTACAACACAGTCAAAGAACTGTTGTGTGATCTTAAATACACAGGGAGTTATTTTTGTTAACAACAACTAATGAAATTGTAATTTTGATACCAGAGTAATTTTGCAGCTTAGCAGTGATCTGCTTTATAGATGGTGTCAGTCAGTGGTCAAACTTCCATTTAGAATACTAATAGATCTGAATTTTACTCAGGTGTTGGTCTGACACCAGGCATTTCCACACCATATGAAATTCCTATGAACCTCCAATGCATGAAGGGGGTTGAAAAGATCTCTGCTGTCAGTTACTTCTGAGTATTTTTAAAAGTGTTTCTTGCATATACTTACAATTTTTTTCCTTTTTTCCCCATTATTGCAGTTCAGCTTATCGAGCAGATGTCAGAGATTATGACAATCGGGTGCTCCTGAGATTCCCCCAAAGAGTGAAAAATCAAGGCACATCAGATTTCCTGCCCAGCAGACCCCGTTATTCATGGGAGTGGCACAGCTGTCACCAGTGAGTAAACTGCTCAGTATGAAATTTTCTAACTATGTTTTTCACTAACAAATTGTCACGTATAAGGTGACATTTTCTAGAACTGCAGTGAAGCCATGAGGAAACTTTAGCCTTTTACTGTCTGATACATTTTATGTAGTGATGATCACTCTTTCTATAGACATATGAAACCAAAATGGATATGAAGCTTATCTACATGTAGGAAACACGTACAAAGTCTAAATTATTTATAAATACAAGTCTCAAACCAGTTTTGATGTATAGTCCAGTTATATAAGCATAACCAGTAAAGAAAACTCCCAATCATGTTAAAATAAATGGAAACCCTAAAATATACATCTACTAGCATGTTCTCTATGATACACCATTGTAAACAGTGACCCATACCTCTTGACCTGAATTTCATGAGTTATTTCTTGACAAGGAATGCGCTGATCAATATGGAATTGAAAAGCTACTGAGTTGATTGATCCTATTATCAATAATATCCTTATCATATGATGATACTTTGACACAGCAGCAAAGCTCTAGAAATACCATAATTGCTGGAAACATGGAAAGGCAAATGAAGTAGGACATTTTCAACATTTTGGGAGCAAGTAACACCGCAAACTTGTATCTTTTCAGAACACTCACATTCCACAGTTTTCAGGTTTGTTCTATTTTTTGCTATTTCACAGCAGAACCAGTTGTAAAATGCTAGAAGTACTTACTCAGAATAGTTACTTCCACCTTATTAAAAATACAATTCTGCTGCTACACATACATAAATGATAACTTAATACTATTCTTTTAATAAAATGGTATCCAATGGGGGCTTGATCTGAAGGCCTCTGAGCCTTCAGAGGCTTTAAGCACTGAATGAAAAATCAGTATTGTTAGAACAAATTATTTCAAAAAAAGACTAGTATTATCAGTTTATGAATCTTGTAAACATAAAAAAAGCTAAAAATAAATCAAACCAACCAGCAAAGCCTCCACAAATTAGTTAACCCCCATTCCTGAAAAAAATTTAATCACCAATAACAAAAATACCCCAACACTAGTGCTTAGAAAGCTGATAAATAGATGAAATTGAGTGAGCAATTGAAATTTTCCATTTGTAGAAGAGCAGTTTCTTCCTCTGCCACAACAGCCCAGCTATTGCTGTCCAGATGTAAAGTGTCTCTGATGTTGATTCAGTTCTTGCCACAGAAAAATGCATCTCTCGTGATCATTTCCATAACAGTGAAACAAGCTCATTTGGAAATGAACTACAACTGCCAATTAGTTTGGCTAGCCATCAGACTTCAGTGTTAGTCATCATCATCTGTGGACTGGTTTTAGTGTTCTTGGTGCTTTAGTGTTCTCACATGCTTGTGAGACTTGTGTGCTGTTTTGTTTCACCAGTACATTTGAATTCTGCTAAATTAAACCATTTTCATATACCTCTTGAGCTGAAGGCATTCATAAGTAACAGCAGTCAAAGATATAGTGCAGGTAGATAAAACAAGTGTAGTTTAGAAAAGTGGAATTACAAGAATAATAGTTGTTGAACTCTACAGTAAGAGCCTGAACTCAGTGTGAGAGCAAGAAAAATGCATCACTTTGTCCAGATCAAAAGCGTATAAGCTGTTGAAATAGAGACAACATTAAGTACAGACAGCAAAAAGAGCTGACATGGAATGAAATCTGCATTGCCATGACACAGAAGCTGACTTCTTTATACAGATTTTGTTTTCACCAATGTTATGGATGTGTTACATTGAGGGCCATCAAAATGTGAAAGCAAATTCTTGGGGTTTTGCTAGCAAGTAGCAAACTTCCCTGGAATTTACAGTATGTAAGGTAAGCATTCCTAGTGAAATTCTGGCTAAAGGCAGTTATAAGATGTACAATTCAAATATGAACTACTTAATACTTGCTATTGTTATTGGAAAAGAGCTGAAACAGGAAATTTTGGAAAAACAGTGCTGCTATGGAATCTTTCCCATAGCAAATTAAAATCTATTATTTATTTACAGAAGATGGCATGTAGTAATTGAAAATCAGAGTAATAAAAATAATTGAGTAACCATTAATAGGAAAGTATAATAACACACAGATTTTGTTTAACAAAAAAAATTCGGCCACATTTAACAAGAGGTAGATCAAATAGGAATATGTTAAAATGTTAATGATAAGATCTGATCCATCTCTAATAGTGTATCTATGGTTTAACAGACATTATCACAGCATGGATGAATTCAGCCACTATGACTTGTTGGATGCGAGCTCACACAGAAAAGTTGCTGAAGGACACAAAGCAAGTTTCTGTCTCGAAGATACCTCCTGCGATTATGGATATTACAGGCGGTATGCATGTACAGCACACACGCAGGTAAGAGACGGTTTGGAGACAAACTTAAGTTTTTTTCCCCCCTCTAGTCTACATTTGGGTAACTTTTTTGCCAATCATCTGATGCCCTAAATTAACTGATGACCTAATTAACTTCTGAAATTCCTCTGTCAGAGGCCAGGATACCATCTTGGAGATGTATCATTTACCCAGTAAATTCTCAGTAGAATTCTCAGTAGAATGCAGTGACACTCATTAGCTTAGTACCACTGGTAAATTAACTCTATTAAAACACACCACAAGTTCTCATGGTTATAGGACTGGTCAAGCGAGCTAAAGGGAACTCAAGACAGCCAGTAGAGAAGTTGTTTCCAGTGTTCATCCCCCCACAGCTGCTCAGTTATATCCTTGGCTGGTCCCAGAGTTCAGAGTTAGTATTTTTCACCTTTGCAGAGTCTGAAGCTGTAAGGTTCTGGATTCCCTTAATACCTATTGCTATTGGCTGGCAGTCTGCCACAGAAATCATCTAGCATTATTTTATGCTTGGTTTTAAGGCATAAAAGATATAGAGAATGGCAGCCATGTGAACATTATGATGGGTCATGTAAAAATGTAAAGTCAGGCGCTAGAGCTTATTAAAGGAACAGATGAAAAATTGAATATAACATTATGATAAAGAAATCCATGAAAGACTCCTACCTTGAATATTGTGTCACCACCTCTCAAAACAGCTACAGAAAAGCTTAAAAAATCCAAACCAGCCAACCCCAGGAGAACAAGGATGATCAGCAATGTAGTATGGCTAAAAGATTTCATGACTGTTCCATTTGGAAAACAAGGAATAAGAATGAAACTTGAGTGGTCCTGGATTAAAAGAGGAAATTGTTGATATTTACTCCTTCTCACAATACAAGAACTTAAGACCTGGTAGACAACAGCTTTAAAACAGAGAGAAGTGGTCTTTTGACACATGAATGAAGTATTAAATGCCTTGCCATAGGATGTTGCAGAGATAAAAATACATGTGTTAAAGAAAAATTCAGACAAAGTAATGGTCGCTATGAAACACACAAAAAATCTGATGGTATCCCATATGTTAAATACAGTTAAATGCCTGCTGCAAGGAATTTGCTTGACATTATACATCCCATTTCTTAGGTTCTTTTGTCCTCTGCTGCTGACCATTGTCAGAGACATGGCACTGAGCTCGATGGATCTGTGGTTTAACTCACATACTGACATGCTTACATGCACATTTGTATCCCTTATTCTGCAGTTTTTAATCTAGGAGGTAGTTATTTTATCACAGAGAAATAACAGGTATGCTTCACTGTCTGACGTGTCCACGTTTGAATTTTAACTATAATGAATGATCTGCAATACATAAAGACTTTGAAGAGGTTTCATAAATATCTTTTCTCCTTCGTAGACTATGACATCTAACATACAAAGTTTACAGATGGAGTATTTGTGTCACTAGAATCATGGCTGTGTCAGCGTTTCCACTGGAAGCCCATGTTTCAGGGGTTTGTAATTGGACTGTAAAACTTTCCTCCAGCCACAGACTTGGCACATACATGCAAGAGTCTGAGCTGATCACCAGCTGGGTCAAGAGGGAATTCCTACAGGACTTGGGTTTTCTACACTCTGTGTGTTGCCTGAACTGATCAGCTTTGCCTGGGGCAATCTGTGTTGGACACAGTTAAAGACACCAGATTCGAACCACTGACACACACTGATAGTTAGGGATTCTTACTGATGTTCCTAATAACAAATAATTTTTCAGAAAAGATTATCTGGAAGAAAGTCTGCATTTTCAGTTCTCTCAGATTCTTGTGCCATTGTATTGCCTGAAGAGACACCATTTCCATGCAAAACTCAATGTGAAAATAGCTCTTGAGTCTACTGTTCAAAGATGGCACTTTGGCAGAGTACCTCCATAGTAACAAGTTGCATCATTCCTAAGGGTAGGGAGAGGTCCCAGCATGCTGATTTGGTTTATACTCAAGGACCCCAGAAATCACTTACTTGAGATCTACAGATACTTAGGTCCACTTCTTGGTCAGTTTTTTTTGTATTCTCATCTTATGTAAAGAACAGGAAGTAATAACAGCACCAGTCTTTACATAAAAGGAGTACTGTAACAAGTGATAATAAAATACAGATATCTTACAAACAACTGTAAATATTACAGATGTTTCCTCTTCAGTAATAAAGTGTAGTCTATCAAAATGGTATCTTTGACTTGCATTCTAGTTTAGATACACAGATAAAATGCCAAGAAACAATAAGACTAATTTTCTGAGTTAATTTTCTTAGTGAAGTGTGATGGTTAAGTTAACTTCAGTCTGAGTGTCCCTAATGTCTAGAATGTTACTCTTCCTAATGATTCATTCTTTTTTTACATCCATCTTAACTTCATTTTTAAGGGTCTGAGCCCTGGCTGTTACGACACTTACAATGCTGACATAGATTGCCAGTGGATCGATATTACAGATGTAAAACCTGGAAATTACATTCTGAAGGTAAGTGTATTGGGAGTGGGGAGGTGTGGGTTTTTTTGTTTGCTTTTTAAAGAAGCAAATCATAAGCACACATCATTTTGAGTGCATGTGAGCAGCTGAAACCTGGAAATAGATAAACACTATGCTTTCTCTCCTTAAGGTGAGTGTAAACCCCAGCTATTTGGTGCCTGAATCCGATTACTCCAACAATATAGTGCGCTGTGATATCCGCTATACAGGCCACCATGCATACGCCTCTGGCTGCACAATTTCACCGTAAGTACTTCTCTTTGTTTTCTGTCACTGTCGAAGATTCATGGTAGTGAAGTTGACAAACAGATTTGTAAAGCTTAGAGATTTACTTTATCTTGAAGAAAATAACTTCTACTATTAGTTCTACTGACAGCAATTTTTTCAGTATTTTGTTTCTTGTGTTTCAGGATTTAAAAGTTTGTGGGAATTTTACTCTTGCACTTGTGCCATCAGAATATATAGCACTTTCAAAACTACTGCTACTGTCTGGGCTGCTAGATAACTACCTCTGGCTCACATCTTCTTTGTATTTGCATTAGAAACTTTCTGTGATCATTCAGTACCCACTTATGGCATCCACACAGAACTGTTCAGCAGTTACAGAGCTCTTAAGACACTCTGTAAAATCCCACACATGTATGTTACTTTGCTGCTGCTGCTTACACAGCAGCCATTCTCCTGAAACAGTTCTTTCACACACACTCCATCTACTGCTTAGTTCCTCAAAAGTTTAAACAAGGCCAAAAGTACACCTCTTTAAAATTTTTCCTCCAAAACAGGAAATTCATTTAATAAATGACCTTATGGTAGATCTGCTGTACCTTAGTATCTGTGAAATATGCGCACACACACAAAGCAGTCTTCTGTAACATAGAGGATAATATATTAGTTGCTCCCACAAAATATTCATCAGGTGATTTCATTTGGATTGCATAAGGAGTGAGTATTAACATTTCTTAGAGGTTTATATGAAATAAATTCCAGAGCAGTAAATGAAAAGTAAAATAGATGACCAGCGTAGTCTTATATAACAGCATCAGTGAAACAAACACAGTGAATTAATGAGACTAGTTTAATTAGCTTGTAAAATATTCATTCCTTACTTTGCATTAGGAAATCAGTAGTAAAATGAGACTAAAGGTAGGAATGTTTTTTTCATGCCAGTGTGGAGATTTGTATTTGTAATCACCCTTTGACTATACTCGTGACAAGTAAAATGGCTTCAGCAAAGTCCTCTGTTCTTGCTGTGTGTTGCTCAGACTTCAGGAAAAGGACAAAAAAAGAACAGGTGTTCTGCAGGTCGTGAGAGATTATTTTTGGTGGACCTGAGGCAGGAGCTTTTAAAGCATTTCTATGTAACAGGACTGATTTCTCCTTCTTGGAATACCGCATCTGCTCACATTCATGTGGAAAGGAAACTTATGCTTCATACTTTTAACTTCTAGTCTCCCCATCTTACCTCTGAAAATGTTATGGAGTACACAGAGTAAAAAAATTACTAAGGTTGGAAAAGACCTTTAAGATCATCAAGTCCAACCATCAACCTACAAGCACCATGTTCACTATTAAACCATATCTTCAAGTGCCTTAATCATGTTTTTTTGAACACTTCAAGTGATCATGACTATACCAATTCCTTGGGCAGTCTGTTCCAATGTTTTACAACCCTTTATGTGAGATATTTTTCCTAATATCTAATCTAAACTGCCCCTGACACAACTTGAGGCCATTTCCTCTTGTCCTGTGACTTGTTACCCGAGGGAAGAGACTGACCCCCACCTCCCTACAGCCTCCATTCAGGTAGTTGTAGAGAGCAATAAGGTCTCCCTGAGTGTCCTTTTCTCCAGGATAAACAACCCTTTTCTCTCTTTCTCTCTCATATATATATATATAAAATGTACATATATTCATGCAGGGTGAGGAAGCAAGGTTTCTATTACTGTTTGCTGACCTATGCCTTCAAGCTGACAATTGAGTACTTAGCAGATATTCTTTTTGTACCTGCTTGGTCACCTGCACAAAATTATTTCTTTTCTTTCAACAGATACTGAGAAAGGTGCAAGAAAATGGATGAGATGGTGCCAAATATTTTGAACTGAAGTATCATTATATAAACTTCAATAGGATGCAAACAATATAGAAACAAAACTAAAAACATACATATATACACCCACACGCCTTATGTGATTTTGAAGCACTCCAGCTGCTTCTCAACCAAAACTTAACTGGATTTTAAGAATTTAAATTGGCATTACTTGTATTACTATCGAAATGTGTGGAACTGGTGACTCATGCACAGATATTTTACATTTTGAAAATCTAACTCGTTCATAAAAACCTGACCATGTCTTAGCTCCTTGACATTTGGAGTTTAGATGATAATAGACTTCAGTAGTAATATAACTGGTGAATGAGTTGAACATATTTTAAAAGGTAGAAAAAAAAAAGTATGCAAAATGAATCAAATAAAATGCAAGAGAAAGTACTAATGTCAGCTATCTCAGAAAATGCCATAATGAAAACCAGCTTAAGAGTAATAATACAGTACCATTAAAAATACTTGCTAGAACACATTGATATGAAGGAGAAAAGTATGTTCAGATTTCAAGGAATATTAACCTATAGCAGAGAAATACATATATATTATATATATATCAGTTATACCCCTGCAAGAAAAGTTACGTTTACATTTTTAATACAGTAGAAGTTTTTCCATTTTCTTAAGTGAAAAACAGATGGGGTTTTGAAATACACCTTTCATCTGTGAAAATGAATTAAAAAACTTACCCACCTTTCTATGTTCAAGAGATTTTTCAAGGTGGGGCTTTTAAAAGACTTCCGCAGAATTAATGCGGATAAAAATAATACCTGTCAATAAATGGGCTCTCGGAGATGACAAAGAGTCCCTGATGTGGTCATCTGTGAAAAACATTCAACTTGAACAGATTAACCATCAAAATAATACCGGCAATTAACTCAGGTGGCACCACAAACAGAAGTAGGTAAGAATCTCTAATGAAGTATTTTGTTGTGAAAAAGCCTACTACCTGCTTCCCCCTTCAGTACTGTAGTTGACTTTAAAAATGTGTATCTCAGTATTCAAAATAACAAAGCTGAAAATATACTATATAGAGAGGGCGAAAGTCAGTGTATTAACATTCTACTTTAGGTTGTTCAGGAACCATTTGGAACATTGCTAAGGGGAAAAACTTCAAGCCCAAATTAATGTTTTTGCTGAACTGCTTAACTGGTGCTGGGTACACTACTCCTCCTCCTCCCATCCCAAAAATATTTTGCTTTTGCAGTGCACCCTGCTGTAAGCTACAGTAGCTGTGATTTTTGTTTTAAACTGTGAAATGACATATCACAAGGGGATCTGGCATTTTTTTCAGAAGCTTTCTGATCATGTAAAATGAAGGATCTACTTTTGAAACAATGGAACCTAGAAATATTGATTGGCATTGGTTTAATGTGATCAGTTCAAAACAACTAATGAAACATGGAAAGCTCAATATATTAAAAAAATTGAAAAATAGCTGTGCTATTGAAAATAGTTAAGAATTTAAAAATCTGAGGAGTATGGAGTATTTTTTGTTATCATTATATTATCACTGAGAAACTTCAGGCAGTATTTGGAAATATTTTATGCATAAGAACCCTATAGATTTAATTTGGATGTTTGATGAATTGCCATAATATCCTTTAAGGATTAGCTGTTCTTTAGTACATATATTTATTTCCTGATTATGAAGTATTTCCATCTTAATCATAACTTGGTTACAAATTTGCACAACTAGAACTTAAAAAGGACCTAAGAACCACAACCTGGTGATTACTACCTACCAGTGGGAGAGGGTGTAGAATGAATACCATTTATACCTGCAGGTCCCTTTTTGTTTGGTGCAAGATGCATTTTGGCAATCAGTAACCAGTATGGGCAACGAACAGAAGCAAAATTTGGAAACTTGATTTACTAGAAAGCCATGAGGGCATGTTTAAAGTCTAGGCTTCTGAAATCTCAGCCCAAAGAGTTTTTAAGAGGTGTTGAGGGATGCAAGCGCATTCACCTTTCTATAGACTTAGGTCAAAACTGGGGTGAAAGTCCTGGGAGCGGCTTGGGCAATGGACACAAAAGCTACTGAATGGAAGCTAGGCTGTGGGCACGAGCTGCTTCCTGGCAAGAGGTTGTGTGCTCGTACCTCATTGTGCCTGATGCTGAATGTGGGATATGAGAGCACTAACTGGAAACAGAGCAGCCGCAGGAAGCGAGGTTATCCCCTGGCACATGAGACAGGAACCTCCTCACATGTCTGTACCCAAGCTACTTGCAGAACTCCACTGAAGTCAGCAAGCAGACAGAAGGCCTTGAGCATCTGTGTAGGTGGAGCAAGTGGGAATGGCCTGGTTCAGAAAGGTGTTGAACGCTGTAACTTTGAATCTTGGGGATATTGTAGCTACAAAAATGTAGCTTCTTTTTCCGTAGCAAAATATTGTAATTGTTTTGAAATGTGTGTTAAGCAACATTACATTGATGTACAATAGCACAAAAACTGCCTAAGATAACATGAACAGTCTATTCAGAAAAACAAGGGATTTTAGGATTAAAAAAAAAAAAAAAAAGGAATGTGACTTCAACTCTGTCTATGGTAAATCACAACTCAGTAGAGGAGTTTATTATATAGCATGTATAGAAGTAGTTCTAAATAGGGGAGTGCCAACCAGTATATTCAGTATCTTGGCTCTGCAGATTTGACCCAGACACCTTAACTTCCTTTTTTCATACTGGAAAATATTAATGCGTTTATGTGCATTTTTGTTGAAAAAACATTTGTAAAGCTGTTTTGATAAAAGCTTTTATTTTTACAGCAAATTATATATGGATTCCATTTTACAAGACATGGGGTTGATTCCCATTATCTTTGAAAGGCATCTTGTCATTGGCCTCAGTCGGAAAAAAATCAGATTTAAATTTTGTGAGATTTTTAGTACAAATATGCTGTCTTGCAGTCTCAAATTTCTTCTGAAAAGCCAGATTGTAAAAATGTGTGTGAAGCAATTACCTCCCACACTTCAAATCTTTACATAAAAATTGCACACAAGGAATTTGTTGTAGGTCAGGTTCATTACAGGACGGGTTTGTTATATATTTTTTTTTTTAATCCTGAAATACATTTGATATTTGCATATTTCTAGACAAAAGTGTAACAAAAATGACAGACTGGTCACCAATGGAAGCAATATATTGTG